GAGTGGCAATAAGAGAAATGTACTCGTACTCGGTTAGGTATCAGTGATGCCGCATGGGCTAGAAAAAAGCTAGATGATATAATTCTAATTTGAAGTAGTCATGGATACAAAAAATGTAATAATCTGTTTCCTGAGCATCATGGCTCGTATTGAAGCACCTACATGTAACATTCACATATTCCACACTTACAGTTATAGCTAAACATCAGACAGCATCGGATGCACTAGCACCTAGCTCTAGCTAGCTAACCAGCTCTCGCTGGTACAGACTAAACCGCCGAGCTGCCACAACTGCTTCAAGCTATACATCTCTAAAAACGCGTACATTTTTGTTGCAATCAGCAACTTCAGTCGCAGCTCGGGTTTCCCTCCATGGATATGGTTGCAAGCGAACCATATCCCGCCAACTCAATATGCCGCCTTTGTCTGATGTACCTGGACCAGAGCCCCGCCCACGATCTCTATCTGGAGCCAGATCTGGCCAAAAAGCTAACCCTCTGCACCACCCTCGATGTGGATCAGCAGGATGGCTTTCCCCGGAGAATCTGCCATGGATGCTTTGGGAAATTGAACGAGTTGCAAGAGTTTCAAAAACTATGCCTGGACTCTGTGCAGCGATTCAAGGAAATGGTGGCCGCCAACAGAATCATCACCATCGAATTGTTGGAGCCGGTGGCGGAACAGGCAGCGGAAGTGATTGTAGGGCCGGAGGAGCAGGCTAGCTATGATCCACTGCTAAATCATAAGCTGGAGATTATTGAGAACGAGGAGGAGGTTTTCAAGATGCTGGTGACTGTGGACAAGAACGTTTTCTCCGACTACACATCCGATGAGGAGCCGGAAGATGGCGAAGAGAAGAGCTCCACTGATGACGAACTTCCATTGGCCCGTCGTTTGCTGGGAGAGGGAGAGGAGACGGCCAAGGAACGGGCAAAGCGAAAAAAGATTCCACCTGCCGAGCGTCGCCTCCGTCGTATCATCCCCTGCACCATTTGCCCGCAAAAGTTCAAAAAGCAATCTAAATTCGACGAGCACATGAAGTATCACAACGACCTCCTGCCCTTCCAGTGCACAGAGGAGACCTGCCGAAAAGGATTCACCACAGCCGGCGCACTGCGTCTCCATGTGGACTATGCGCACACCAGGAAAGCGGATGAGATACCCTGCACCGTGGAAGGGTGCAAGTTTCTGTTTCCCCGGCTGCGGCTGCTCACCATTCACTTGAAGAAGGTCCACAACCAGACTCGGGTGAGTGCTCCGCGAGCGGAGCAGCCGTGCGGCGAGTGTGGCATGGTCTTCCGCTGTCAGGTGGCCCTCAAGAAGCACATGTACAAGCACACCGGCGAGAAGTTGCCCTACCCTTGCAACATCTGCGGCAAGGGATTCCACATCAACAGCGCTCTCAAGAACCATCTACTGCGGCATGCGGGCATCAAGAACTACGTCTGTCCGTACTGCGGCGTGGGCAAGACGACACGACAGGAGTGGAGCAAGCACATGCTGACACACACCCAGGAAAAGCAGTTCAAGTGTGCCACCTGCGACCATGCCACGCACACAAAGCGTGCGCTCGACAATCATGTGAAGATCGTCCACGAGAAGGTCCGAAACTTTGCCTGCCAGTACTGCGGGAAGACGTTCGGCAAGTCGCACGCCTGCAAAATCCATGAGATGACACACACGGGGGAGAAGCGGTGTGAGTGCAAGGTAATAGAGAGAGAGATGAGATCCTCGAAATGAAAGGAGTCTCCTTCAAAGAACAGCTTTCTTTATTTCAGGTCTGCGGAAAGAAGTTCCTGTACACCGAGAGCCTCACAAAGCACCTGAAGATACACGAGAAGAGCGTGGAGCGAGCCCTGGAGACGTATCGTCAGCGGCAGGGAGAGACCTCTGCCGACCAGGACCAGGCCCAAGTGGATGCCAATCACCTGATGAAAGTCTGCGCGGAATCGGTGGCCACAATCCCTCGGGATCCGCGACGCGTTGAACGTGTTGATATGGCCCAATTAGCGGGCACAGTGGTTAATCCCATTCCCAGCGTATCGCTGCCCTCCAGCGCGCCGCCCCAGGCAAAGTTTGTCCAGAAGGAGGGCATGCATCTGTGCCCGGGGTGTAATCAGGGATTCAATAATCTGGGGAACATGAAGCGACACTACAAGAGCATCCACGAGAAGGTCAAAGACTTCGAGTGCCGCTTCTGTTCGCGACGCTTCGCCAACTCGCAGTCGCTCAAGCAGCACGAGTGGATACACACGGGGGAGAAGCCCTACGCCTGCAAGACCTGTGGCACCCACTTCCGCCAGGAGGCGGCTCTCATCCGCCACCAAAAGGTGCACGACGAAAAGCCACCCAGGCCGGCGAAACCCCCTAAGGAAATCACAGACAAGGCACGCCAGAAGCTGCTCCAGAGGTGCGAGCGCAAGCGCAAGGTGGAGGCACTGCGTCAGGAGATAGCCCAGGCCGCCAAGGAGGAGCTGAAGGACTTGGAAAAGCAGCGTGCCCTAGAGAAGGAGCAGAATACCTACGAAAAGTATCAGGCAGCTGCCGAGGCGGTGGCCACCACCCCAACTGGCAGTTGAGGTTGCCCTCCCAGAGGAGTATAGTTAAGGCTTTTTGGTTTCAGACTGAGAAGAAAGTATTGCTGGTTAATATTTAACCCATTGTTAAGACTTGAAGCAACTTTAAGTTCAGTTTAAAAGGTGTCGGGCCGAGAGTTTAGTTTAAGCAAACACAGGATTAAAGTTTTTCCGATTTTTTTGTATTTTTTACTTTCACTTGCTTGTTATTTTATGAGAGAGTGGTTGAATGTCGTCAAATGATTGCAAACCGTGAGGACACCGTCGAAAAAGCCATCCGAGGTGTCCGCCAGTTCATATGATAGATGGAGTGATGGATGGATGGATGATAATGAGATTAGATTAAAATGATACAAAATTGTGATCAAACAAATCTACAAGTAGATAGCAAAAATTTTGTATACATTGAGTAAAGCAAGAAGTGTTCTAAACTGTGGAAAATGTGAACCAATTTCGGACGTCATGGGCCACGCCTGTGTCTGCCTTCTAGGGAGCCTCTGGTGTCTTCAAATTGTACTTGGCCTTGATGTTGTTCAGCTCCTCCTGCTTCTTGTCCATGTCGACACGCTTGAAGGCCTTGTTCGACTGGTAATAGAGGACCACCAGATAGCGATTGCACACATTGAAGCCGGATAAATGGTCGCAGGCGTTTTTCGCATCAAATATGTCCTCATACACAACAAAGGCTGTGCCGCGCGTCTCTGGTGTGTTGCCCCTGTGGAGAGAGCAGATAAAGAACCATTAATGAATGATGCTGCAGACGAGACACAATGGGCCAACTTACACGCGTATCTGACGTATAGCACCGAATTTGCCGAAAATATCATACATTTCATCCGATGTTATTTTGTACGGCAGGTTTCGCACATAAAGCAGCCGATTCACCTCTGGCGGCAGGCGGATCTGCAAGAAAAATGCACCAAATATTTCATTTACTTTCTGTCTGGAGTTTTCCTTTCACTGGGGGCACCACTCACATGGTTGCGCTTATTCATGGCGCGTCTGGTCGCGACGGATGTTGAAACGCGACAAGTTAAGAAACTTTCACTCGGCTGTCTGGTAAGCTAGGCGGCTTTGTTTGACCCCGGGATGAATGTCCTGAAGAGCGTGGTCTCGTCCTTTGTTTAAAATTAATGTCTGTCTGGCCCCAAACCTAAACAATGTTGGTATTAGGGTTGAAACCGGCCGACTCTCAGAAATATACCGAAACATACCGTCTCATTTAAAAAATATACCGTAAATATACTGACGAATTCAAGTTCTAATTTACATATTGCTCGTTTTTGATATTCCCTGGATTATTACTAACTATATAGAACATTTAGCCATGCCCACTTAATTTTATACGATTAATGAACTTATTTTCAAGTTGACTCGCTTATTGTAAACACTTGCTTTTATTACATTTTACGTAAAAAGTGGTTTTAGCGAAAATGGTCAATTTTGATATTACGTGGAATGTTATTAGCTAAATAGAACCCTCAGCCCTGCCCACTAATTGTATACGATTTATGAAGCAATTTTGTACTTAAATGATTTATTCTAAATACTTGCTTATATTGGAACTAATATCCTTTTCCCTAGGTTAAGCAGAATGTTGCCCATATTGCGGGACATGAATACTCGTTTTCTGGGCACATGAATCGGGCCATCAAATTAATATTTGCTGCAAATTTTTGCAATACGTTTTTGACGATTTTTATTGGTCGAAAGCAAAAATAGCGTCGTTTCGGTTTCAAAACCGTTTTAGTTACAAACCGTTTCCATTAATGTGCGCTAAATTTAAACCCAACCACATGAAAAAATAAGTTTATAGGGATATATTATATGTGGTGTATATCAAATACATATTAAAGTAACTTTTCAATACCAAGTAAACAATGTTGGCTTTTAAAGTGGTTCAGCCTTGAATACCAAGATCTATTTTTGCCGACAACCCTTGCACTGGTTGGGAAATGCAGTTCCAATCAATATGTCCGATCGAAGAGAGCCTGAACCGATTTGAAGAGAGCGCCAAATAGAAATGGTTTGAAAGTGAATAAGCAACAAGGATTTAAATGAAGTCCGTTGGAATAAATGATGCACGGAAGCACGTTTTGAGATAGCAAAAATTCAAAAACCTGCGTATGGAAGTTTCTGTATCCTTTGTTCTTAAATATACCTTTAAAAATTAAATTTAAAATTAATGTCTTTTGTCTGGCCTCAAACCCAAACAAAATTGGTGTTAGGGTTGAAGCTCCGATTATTCGATAACCTCTCTATAGAGACCGTTGCCACCCCTAAGTGTGACCATATTAGGAGCAACAATTTATACAATATATAAAATCCTTTTGACATTCGACAGGACAAGTATTCCATGATAAACCATACATTAAAATAGTTAGTTCTCAACACATTCCCAAAAATATAAATATTCGCGCCACGAATATTCAGTGGCAATAGCAAAACCAATCGATATCCCACACAACCCTGATAATTGTGCAAAGAAAAGGCGAAAAAAGAGAAATTTATAGAAAAAGTTCAAGTACTTTTCGAGTGAATTGGTTTTAACGCATACCGCTATTATAAACAGTAAGTGGAAGGTGGTTAATTAAACCACATCTAATGTCCTATATAGTGTTTTTCCGTTGTGAAATACCGTGCTAGAACATGGCGGTGATAGGCGGGTGCTCCTGAAGGAAATTTTTGTGTGGCTTGTGCTTGTGCGCCCACCAAAAGTATTTCTTTCGCTCGCACGCATGTAAAAAACCACCGCAGGGAGGCAACAATCGGGCGAGATACTTAAAATAAATGCGATTAGGGCAATTTGCAGATGATGTAAATATTATATGCACATATGTACTGCAAAATACATGTGCATCTGCGCGAGTTTGCACACAGTGTCTGTGAGCGCGAGGGTGTGTGTGTTTGTGAATGTGCGAATGTGTAGGGGAGTGTGGCCTCGAACAAAGTGTCTCTCTGTCCATCCATCCGTCCGTGCGTCCGTCCATCCGTCCGTCCTACCCTTTCGAGAGGGCATTCAACTTGCCGCCGAATTAGAATTAAAATTCGAAAATTCAAGTTTGTGTGAATTTTTAGAAGAGCTGCACAATGACGTGGGAACCACAAGGAGACGGTCTGCAGCAGATCATTGCGATCTTGAAAGAATCTCAATCCCCGGACACAGCGACCCAAATGGCCGTACAAATGGTGAGAGCTCTCCGCAAATTCAACAGGGGAAAGGAGGAACCTTTTGATTATTAATTTCTATGCGTTGTATTTCGTGCTGTAGAAACTGGAGGAATTCAATCGGTATCCAGACTTCAACAATTATCTCATCTACGTGCTGACAAAACTAAAAACAGAAGACGAGCCGACACGGTCGCTGAGCGGCCTAATCCTAAAGAACAACATCCGCATGCATGGCAGCACTCTGCAGCCGGAGATCGTCGAGTATATCAAACACGAATGCCTGCAGGCTGTGGGCGATACCTCGCCCCTGATTCGGGCCACAGTTGGCATACTGATCACGACGATTGCCAGCAATGGAGGCTTGCACAACTGGCCCCAGTTGCTGCCGTCGCTCTGTGAGATGCTCGATAATCCAGACTTCAATGTGTGCGAGGGTGCATTCAGTGCTCTGCAGAAGATATGCGAAGATTCCGCCGAGATCCTGGACTCGGCTGCCCTGAACAGACCCCTGAACGTGATGATTCCCAAGTTCTTGCAGTACTTCAAGCACACCAGCCCCAAGATCCGTTCCCATGCCATCGCTTGCATCAATCAATTCATCATTAATCGCTCTCAGGCGCTGATGATCAACATCGACTCCTTCATTGAGAATCTGTTTCACTTGTCGTCCGATGAGGATCACGAGGTGCGCAAGAACGTTTGCCACGGACTCGTCATGCTGCTCGAGGTGCGCATGGATCGATTGATGCCGCACATGTCGCAGATAATCGAGGTAAGTTCCCCAACAATGTAGGCAATCGTTTGGCCACCTTTAACCACCATCTCCGTTTTAGTACATGCTTCTGCGCACCCAAGACTCCGATGAAGGTGTGGCCCTGGAGGCATCTGAGTTTTGGTTGTCGCTCGCCGAACAGAGTATCTGCAAAGATGTTTTGGCCCCCTATTTGGCGCAGCTGGCGCCCATACTGGTGCGCGGCATGAGGTACTCGGAGATTGATATTATCCTGCTCAAGGGAAATGTGGAGGAGGATGACATGGTGCCGGATCGCGAGGAGGATATACGCCCACGATTCCACAAGTCCCGCACACACACAATCAAGAGCGGCCAGGAGGCGGGCGGCGGCCAGGCCGGTGCCGCCGGCGAGGATGACGACGAGGATTACGATGATGGCCTGGACGATGACAGCTCTCTATCGGAGTGGAATCTGCGTAAGTGCAGTGCGGCCGCTCTGGACGTCCTGGCGAATGTGTTCCGCGAGGATTGTCTGCCCATTGTGCTGCCCATCCTGAAGGAGACGCTCTTCCACCAGGAGTGGGTGATCAAGGAGAGTGGCGTCCTGGCCCTGGGCGCCATTGCCGAGGGCTGCATGCAGGGAATGATTCAACATTTGCCGGAGCTGATTCCGTACCTCATCAGCTGTCTGTCCGACAAGAAGGCCCTGGTGCGCTCCATCACCTGCTGGACGCTCTCGCGGTACGCCAATTGGGTGGTCAACCAGCCGCACGATCAATACTTGAAGCCCCTGATGGAGGAGCTGCTCAAGCGCATCCTCGACTCGAACAAGCGCGTGCAGGAGGCCGCCTGTTCGGCCTTTGCTACCCTCGAGGAGGAGGCCTGCACGGAGCTGGTCCCCTATCTGGAGTACATCCTCAAGACGCTCGTCTTTGCCTTCTCCAAGTACCAGCACAAGAATCTGCTGATCCTGTACGATGCCGTAGGCACCCTGGCCGACTCGGTGGGCCATCATCTCAATAAGTCGCAGTACATTGACATTCTGATGCCGCCTCTGATCGACAAGTGGAATCTGCTGAAGGACGATGACAAGGACCTGTTCCCACTCCTAGAATGCCTCTCGAGCATTGCCACAGCCCTGCAATCCGGCTTTCTGCCCTACTGCGATCCGGTGTACAGACGCTGCATATCCCTGATTGAGCAGACTATTAACCAGGAAATGGTGCGTGTGTTTTCATTGCCAAAATCTCTGATTTTACTTTAGCCTGTACTTGTAGCTGTGCAAACAGAGCCAGACATTCGATCATCCGGACAAGGAGCGCATGATTGTGGCATTGGATCTGCTGTCGGGCCTCGCCGAGGGCCTGGATCGTCACATTGAGACACTGGTGGCGAACAGTAACATCATGCATCTGCTCTATCAGTGCATGCAAGATGTGCTCCCAGAGGTGGGTCACTTTTTGGGCCTTTTCTTGGATTGTATCTCATTAGCGAATCGTTCTTTAAGGTGCGCCAATCGTCGTTTGCACTGCTGGGGGATCTAACCAAGGCCTGTTTCCCCCACGTGCATCCCTTTATGGCCGAGTTCTTTCCCATTTTGGGCCAAAATCTGAATCCCGACTTCATTTCGGTGTGCAATAATGCCACATGGGCCATAGGAGAGATATGCATGAAATTGGGTGAGTTTTGGGGGCTTTTTACTTGCATAATTAAATGGTTGGTTTGGTTTCGATGGCCCAATCTCGGGTCGAGTAGAGCGCGGAACAAACGAAGATTAATTTTTGATCGATTTGCAGGCGAGGAAACAAAGCAGTACATACATCTTGTACTCAGCGATCTGTTCGTTATAATCAATCGCCCGAATACGCCCAAGACACTGCTGGAGAACACAGGTGAGTGGTTCGAGGAGGCTCGTCATTGATTTCAAAAGAGAAGCTGCTGTTTAAATATATATATATGTGTATATATATGCTCATATATGTATGTATGTATATGAACACATGTATATGTGTATCAATGATATTTATTTAACATATATCTCTGTATGTATGTGTGTATGTGGAATATTTGAACATTTGTTTCTGTCTTATTTTCTGTCTCAAAACGAACAATCAAAACGAACCGAAATCCATTCACATACCCGTACCACATGCATAGATATAGATATTCTAAGAAATACGATAATTTATATATCAATTTGAGTGTGTACTATCAATCGAATCGAATCTAAATATCTGTGTTAATTATTGATTTATTTCTAGTTAATATATGATTTTCTGATTTCCACTTTTGTTTTCTGTTCATTTTAGCAATAACAATCGGTCGTCTAGGTTATGTGTGCCCGGTTGAAGTGGCTCCTTATTTGCCCGAATTTGTGCGACAGTGGTGTGTAACACGTTTTATTCAATTCAACTAGATTATGCTTTCTTTTCCTCTACCTATCGCCTTACCGTAAATTGAGCTTAACACTGAAACAACCAATCAATCAATCAAAATCAAACAATCCCACCAGTAACACACACTTCATCTATCATTTGTACTCCCCCACTCGCCTCTCGCCTCTCGCCTGTCGCCTCACAAATTGACTGGAATTTCAAACGTTTACATTTGAACTTTCGCCTGCGGGTCGCTGCCCCAATACCAATACCAATACCAATGCCAGTGCCCGTTCTAAAATTACTAAATCTCTTGATTTTACATTGATCTTTCCACCCGAAACCATTCGGTATACAGGTGCACATCGTTGCGACACATCCGGGACAATGATGAGAAGGACTCGGCCTTTCGTGGCATGTGTAATATGATCACGGTGAATCCAGCTGGCGTGGTGCCCGACTTCATATTCTTCTGCGATGCCATTGCCTCGTGGGTGAATCCACCACAAGATCTGCACCAGATGATCCAGAAGGTAAGGGGCGGGCGCTCCCTTGAAATGAAAAAAAACAACCTTAGAAATGATGATAATTGAGTAAACGCCTCCCATAGATTCTCCATGGCTTCAAGACACAGGTGGGTGAGGAAAATTGGCGTAGATTTGTGGAACAATTCCCGACAACACTGGCCGAGCGCCTGGTCACCATGTACAACATCTAAGCAGCCCACATCAGCCAGCGGAATGCAGAGCAGAGCAGAGCAGAGCGGAGCAGACAGGAGACAGAGTTCTAAAACTAGACAATTATGTACAAGCATGCGTCGTAGCAACGTTCATGGCTTCGTCTTAATCTTTAACACAGCCCTAAGTTATCCGATTCGATGCTGTTCGAATGTTACGTTAATTAATTGAAATTGAAAACAGCAAAAGAAAAGAAAAAAACACACATAAAACCACATAACCATATGCATAACCACATATACTATATCGATATATCTTATAGAGATTGAGCTAGATATCCAGCATGCATGCATATATCCAAAAAAAAAAACAAAAAGAAAAAGGAAAAAAAGATTAGCAGATCCTAGATCTGGCCAAGAGCTTCTTTAGGCAGTCTGTCCTGTCCTGTCCTGTCCTCTCCTGTCCGTCTGTTTAGATCAAGTATCAATAGAAAACAACAAAAGTATATCCATAGATGAAATTATGTGTTCCGGACGTACTTAACCGGATCCAAGTGCTATAGAACATATTCAACCCAAAAACCCAACAACCCAACCGCCCAACAGCCCAACAATCCAACAATACACTCAGAATCAGCCCCAAGCGAAATAGGGAAATTAATAATGGGTAGACACACGGGTGTTTTCCCCATTCGGTAATTCATGAATATAATAATAATACAAACAAAAATCAAATCGATCGTCGTATCTCGTGTCGCGTTAAACTATAAACGTTAACTGAAAGCGTTGGGCTAATTGTGAAATCAAAGTGAATAGAAATTGCAAATGAATATACATACGTGGAAAAGATTCAGCTAAACCAAAACTCTTACAAATCAAAATAAAGACTGATGTTCAAACAAAACAAAAAAGATTAAGAAAAACAAATCCGTTCAAAGACAAACAGCATACATCAACAAACGATTTATATTTCACAATTGAAACCCAACACTTTCATGGATAATAATGATAATAAAAACCAAAAAATCGTCGCGTTTCGGGTTCTTCGCGTTCGCGTATTCTCGTCGCTCTCGTCCGTTCGTTCGTAAAATCGTAATCGGTAATCGGTAATCGGTCAATCGTCAGTCGTCACGTGCGTGGTATCGTATCTCGTCGGGTAAACCAAAAAGGAAAAACAAAAATCAAATAATACAAGGATTACAATAATACAATACAAAATGCAACTGTTACAGATACAAAAATTTACTTATACACTACACACACACACACAGACACACACACACACACACACACAAACATTACTACGGATGATATTTATTTACAAAATTATAGATTTTTGTTTATTTTAAAGAGAGAAAAAAAAGGAAGAAAATTGAGATTAGGATTTCGTTGAGTATAATAATTTGTTGTTTTTGTGCGATCTGAATAACTGAATACAAAACAATTGACTGATCACTTTTTAAAGTATTATTATATAATTTGTTTGCGTTGTATAGGGACAAGTGTAATTAAAATTATCATTATACGAGTACTACATATAATTTTTATCGAAAACTTTTGCTTTCATTTTGTATTGTATAGGCTTTCGTCTTTTGCGTAAGATCCTCTTTCCCAAATAATCATTTATATTGTACAGAAATTTGTATTTTTTTTACAATTATTCGATGATTAGGGTGTAAAAACAATGTACTACTAAATGGAAACAAAAGTCTTTGAAATTGTCGCGGAACAAATGAAAACAAAAAAAAAAAAAAACAAAAAAAGAGGAGAATAGAGAAACTAAAACCAAAACTCAGTCAGAATAAAACAAAAAGATTAAGGAGATAGATGATGAGTAAACCAAGTAAATCTAAGTAATAGTATTATGTAATTAAATGCAAACTTCGTTTAAGTTTGTGTTAATTTTTTATTTCGTTTCGAGAAAAAAAAAAAAAAAACAAAAACCAGGGGGAACGTGTGATAATAATGTAACTTCGGGTCGTTCGTTCGCGTCGCGTTAAACTCAAACTAAAACTAAACAGCAAAAAAGTCTAAAAAATAAGGGACTTTCGCCCCCGAGTCCCAAATAATAATGAAAAAAATACTTGAAAACTATTAATAATAATACAAAATAAACCAATTGCAAAACTAAATGAAACTAAAAATCGTGATTTCGTTGTACCTTAAACCGGATTCATCGCGGAATCCGGTCGCGTTCGCGTGCGTTTGTATCTCTCTCGGGTGATCTTAGTGATTAGCGTTTAAGCAGTAACTAAAATAAAACAAAAACAAAAACAAAATAGGAATCAACACACACACACACATTGAATACACACACACACACACATTCATAAACATACATATATACATATGAATATAATATATTTATAAAGAAAAATATGCAGCATAGGATTTTGTTCTATGATTTTTCACCACGAAATGTGTTAGGTCAAAAATTAGGACAAGAAAATTCAACAACTACAAATAAGAACAAAAGAACAGAACAGAGAATGGAGTTCAGAATCAAAGAAAGGATAATTTTTTGCAGATCCTAATAAGGGTCGTAAATCGCATGTTTGTTTTCTCAATTACAAAATGTACGTGTATTACAAAATTCAGCTGCGGTTAAGAAAAAAAATTGGAATTTCCGACTTAAATAGATTTTGTTTTTACTCTATTGCCCCCACCTCTCTAATAATAGATCTGATCTGCAACATTTCTAAGTAAATTAAAGTACACATAAATATACATATATACTGGATATATGATCCGATCCGATGCCCTCTATACACATGTTGCAAATATTCGGAAAAACTGGAAAGAAGTCCTCTTTCTGGTTTTTCAAAATATTTGCTATACTGTAAACTCCATTTAATGATTCGTCGATAACTGAGAAACTATATATACTATATCTGAATAAATATGTATGTATAACATTACCATCAACAAAAAGATACAATGTTTTACTCCGGCCTCGAGGGCGTGCCCTGCTTCCCTTGCTCGGAGATTTCTGATTGCTCGTGAATGAAACAATGAAATGCATGCCGTGCACCCGAGAAGGCTAAAAAAAAGTACACACGGTCCACAAAGAACGGAAATCAATGCTACTCACAATTTTATAGATACAAGAAAACTATGCAGAATCATAGAGAAAAGACTGCCGAATCGATGGATCAGATCGGATACATTTTATAGCCAGAAGCCAGGAACAAATGAAATTTTTTTGTGGCTACTCTACGCAATCCTCACTCAATATATCTTTTTCCTTCTCTCTCCCTCTCACACACACTATTCCTCGTGCAGTGTGCACGGTCTGGCGTAGGGGAGCGAGACAAAACGGCTGGTGTTGGTGTGAGAAATGAAAGAGAGAGAGACAGATATAGAAAAATTTGAGTAAAATAGGCGAAGAAACTTTTCAAACACGATTTATATTTAACTGAATGCAGTCTGAACTTCCGTCTTTACTAGAAGAAACCAAATACCGATTTCAGTGGGTTTAAAAATGATTAAAATAGGAAATAGGTGCCGCTGTGGACGCACTACATGCAGCAGATATTCGATACTCATACTCAGACTGTCCTGATGTCGTAGCTGGGACTGTTGTACGTCCATCTGCAAGCACGCCGAAAGATATCCACTTCGGGGGCACAGAAGAAGTCACCTTGGACTTCATTTTCATTAGCTTTGTTCTTCTCCAGGGTATACTTATAGCTTGCATAGCCCTATAGCCTTTTGATTTCGGGCACAAGTGTAGGCTCACAAGGCTCGTTCCCGCTCTTTTTCAGCTTTTTCTGCTCCGAAATTCAAAAAGCATGCCGCGTTGCTGTTTTAATTGGATATTTAATGATTCTAATATTTATTTAGTTGATTTCAAAGGCAAAATACAAGTTCAAAAGAGAGAGAGAGAGAGAGCTATGGCGAAGATTGTAGATTACCAGGGGGAAGGCTAGCGAAGAGAATGAGAGCGTAAGCTGTTCATTCGGCTCTGTATGCGTTCCACAATCTTTGGTGGTGCTCTCTCAAAGAATTGAAAATTACAAAGGAATTAACATATATGTATAAGTTCTGATAAAAATTGGCACAAAGAAAGAGCTTAGAATCTACATTGCTTATACGACTGGCAGATGTGCTGAGGTTCCACGTAACTGCAGGAGCCCCAGGCCCTACGTTTGCCTGTCGATTGTGTTTGTTCGTTTTGGTAATTTGTTCGTTTCGTTGTCCATCGATTGCGTGTTTCGTCAACTTTCACTCCATTGTCCATTGGGCATAGTTTCTTATTTTATAGAATCCAAAATCGTTTGTCCTTTTAGCATTTTGCGAGGGTCCTTCACTAGGGTCTCTTCCACTGCTCACTCTCTTTGTTCCTCTAGTTGAGAGGACAGTGGCCCTGCCAAATGTCGCCAGCGATCATGTTCGGCGTAATTCGAATCGCTTTCTTGTTGATTTCCACGTTGCTGATGCATCCCTTGAAGGTCTTCTTCGTCTTGATGCCCGGCGCCTTCTGGAAGGCATGGTGTCCGCCCATGAACAAGGGACGATTCGTCTTGGTCAGGGCAGAGGACTCGTTGCCCACTGCCGGATTGGAGCTGACAAAGTCCACGGCTATGTTGATGACAAACTTCGATTTGATGGCCTGCACGTGGCGTGTCTTGCCATCGCAGAAGCTCTCGTTGGCGGGCAGCGTGAAATTGGTCACGAGAGTGCTCTTTGCATCCGATTTGACGGTGAAGAAGAGTTCGTTGTCCACCAGCTCAAGAATGGCGTAGGAGTTCTTGCCGTGCACCGAAAAGACCAGACCGTTCGGCTCTCGGGGACGGAAATCAAAGCTGATGGCCATCTCGGCGCCAACGGTGAAGCGCTCGAAGAGCTTCACGTACGGCGGCGTTGTTTGGTTGGAGCTGCTGTGGAAGAACACTCCCCGCTCCACCTGCTCGGAGCATGGCACCACCGAGTACTTTGTGGGCTCCGTCTCCAGGGCCACGCCATCGAACTTGATGTCCGTCAGGCAGCCATTGAAGTACGAAGTGTTGCCCCCAAAGTACGTGTGTCGCCTCAGCTCCGACTCCACAAACTTCGTTATGCCGCCCACAAAAATGGGCATCTCGACGGAGAACACAGGGGGGCTGCGCTCCTGGCTAACCTCCACCGAGCCCGGCTGCATCGTCTGATCGATGATCAGGCTCACCCGTGGAGCAGTGCGCACAATCTCCACCGTGTGCCACTTGCCGTCGTTCAGCTCCGCCTCGCTGGTAATGTTCGCCGTCAAGCCAGCGCCCACTCTCAGCTGATAGGTCACCCGCCCATCCAGCAGATACACTGCTACAAAGTCATCCTTCTGCTTGCTGCTCGCATAGAACAGGAGTCCATTCGGATGCTCTGTGCGGAAGGAGATGCTCACATCGTGATGGCTCTTCAGTTTCACCGGCAGGGAGTTGATCTCCAGCCGCTGTTCCCTTAGCGAGTAGAAGCGATAGCCAGCCGTCTCGAAATCCACATCATAGTTGGGTTCCACTGGGAGTTTGCAGCGCTTGTCGCTCGGTTGATTCATCTTCGGTGTGGGTCGAGTGGTCAGTGTTTTCTGTGGCACTATTTCTGCTGCTTCTGCTGGTGTCGGCCGGACCGTTGTGCTAGTGATT